CCAACCCAGCTGGTGTGGCTCAGTGATTGAGCATCTACTCATGAGCCCAGTGGTCTCAGTTCAATTCCCAATCAGGGCACTTACTCAGGTTTCAGGCTTGATTCCCAGTAGGGAACATGCAGGAGACAGCCAATGTATAATTCTCTCTCATTGATGTTTCTATCTCTCTCTCCCTCTCCCTTCCTCTCTCTGAAATCAATAAAAACATATTAAAAAAAAAACAGTGGCTGGCACAGTGATTAAAAGAGTATGTATATTCACAAAATACACTTATTAGAAAAATATTTCTCTTCTTTAGCAAATTATTTATTTCTTTGAGATTTATATTTTTCATTCTCTAACGTGTTTATGGAGGTATATTTATTTTTCTAAAATCCTGTGTTTTCTTGGTCCTCTTCTTTCTTTTCTTTTTCTTCCTTTTACTTTAAAATATTTAATTTTTAGTAACTAGAAATTTCTGGAGGGAATAACTTTCTATTTTATCATTTTAGCATGAAGACTATGAAATTTTAAGCTCAATATTAGATAGCAACAAATGTGCAGGATATTGCTTTATTTACAAGCTTTGCATTGTGAATTATACTCTAAAGTGCTAAGTAAACAAACAATGACCTAGTTTTTAGATTTTGATCTATGAGAAGACCAATTAATAAGCTATGAATAAGATATGTGATATCTTCCACAGCTTATAGAGAAATCAGAATTGATTAGGAATATAAAGCTTACATTTTCCCTTTAAAACTATAATATACCTCCATTTGCAAAAATTGAAGATTTAACATACATGTAAAACAATCTGTAACATACATAAAAAATCTATTTTTAAGATGTATAAAAATCTATTAAATCTAGTAAAACTTTAAAATCTGGTAAATACAAAAAAATATATTTAATACCCTATAGGTAAAAAATAATCAACTCTTTTCAGTGAATGTAGAAATGTTAGCCAATTATGATGAACAATAACAACAACAACAAAAGAAAAACATTTCAAACCATAGTAATGGCCCTTGAGAACTCATACAACTTGACAAAAGGAAGACAAACAAATCAATTAAAAAATGAGCAAAGGACCTAAGTAGACACTTCTCCAAAGGGGACACACGGATGGCCAGAGACATATGAAAAAATGTTCAAAGTCACTGATCATTGGAGACATGCAAATCAAAATGACAGTGAGGTACCACCTCACACCTGTCAAAATGGTTACCATCAGCAAATCAACAAATGATAAGTGCTGGCGAGGTTGTGGAGAAAAAGGAACCCTAGTACACTGCTGGTGGGAATGCAGACTAGTGCAGCCACTGTGGAAAACAATATGGAGTTTCCTCAAAAAAATTAAATATGGAACTCCCATTTCACCCAGTAATCCCACTTCTAAAGTGCCCATCAGTACATGAGTGAATAAAAAATTTGTCATACATTTACACGATGGAATGTTCTGCAGCAGTAAAAAGATGAATCTCTTACCCATGAGACAGCATGGAGGGATCTGGAGAGTATTATGCTAAGCGAAATAAGCCAGTCAGAAAAAGATAAGTAGTATCACATGATCTCACTCACATGTGGAACCTAACGAACAAAATAAACTGGTGAACAAAATAGGTCCAGAGACATAGAAGCATGGAACAGACTGTCAAATCTCAGAAGGAAGGGGGAGAAGGGTGAGTGGGTGGGAAGAAATTAACCAAAGTACTTGTATGCATTTATGCATAACCCATGGACACAGACAATAGGGTGGTGAAGGCCTGGGGTGAGGGCAGGCTAGAAGGGGTCAATGGGGGAGAAAAAGGGGACATATAATACTTTCAACAATAAAGATTTAAAAAAAAAGATAAAGGTCCTTGAATATTGTAGCACCTAATTGAAATGGTTATAGAGAAAAGTAAAACCATAAGAAAACAAGCATCATCTGGAATCTGGGTACCAACTACCTCTTGCTAAGTGGCCCCAGTCTGGCACTAGCAGCAGCCTGACTTGGTTCATAGGTTGGGCTCCCCTGGGCACCTCTAAACCCAACAAAAATAGCAGTTATCTGTAGATCACTCTGTAGCTTGTGTTTGTTGGCCCCAGGCAGGGCACAGGCAGTGGCTTACTTTGCACCTCCTGAGAGGCCTCAGAGCCATTGTACCTGTTGGACAGCATCACTCAATACCAGATTACAACTCTACCACCTCCATGAGCAACACACTTAAGGGGCAAACTCGGTGGGTATCAGGGCTTCACTAGAGCAAGTCATACTCCATAGGGTTGACTCCTGCACAGCTGCTTCTCTGCTGTAGTTGTGGCCTGTCCTGGCAGCCAATTGTCTTGGGGGTCAGTCCCTCTCAGTGACACCACAGCAATCAACTACAACGGAACAGTACACACAGCTCACACAGGGGCATACTTGGAGTGCCCAGCTTGGGTGACTGGGGAGGCTATGCCACTCTGTCCTACCACATAAGGCCACTCTACCAACCACATAAGGCAGCTCTACCTAATATATATAAACTAGAGGCCTGATGCACAAAATTCATGCAACAGTAGGCCTTCGCAGCCGCAGCAGCTGCCTCGATCCTGCGGCTGCAGCCCTGGCTTCATCAGGAAGGACATCCGGATGGTCGTTCGGTTGATTTGCATATTATGCTTTTATTATTATAGATAAGCATAAGAAAGCAGCCAAAATGTGGAGACAAATAGATGGGTCCCAAATGAAGGAATAGGAGAAATCTCCAGGCAAACAAAACAAAACAAAACAAAACAAACTAAATGAAATGTAGGCAAGCAAACTACAAGATACAGAGTTAAAAACAATGGTTATAAGAATGCTAGAAGAAATTAGTGAGAATTTCAACAGCATAGAAAAGGACATAGAAACCATAAATAGAACCTTTGAGATATGAAGGCTAAAGTAACTGAAATAAAGAATAATTTACAGGGAATCAACAGTAGAATAGATGAAACTGAGAATCTAATCAGTAATTTAAAATATCAGGAAGCAAACAAAATGAAAACAAACAAACAAAAAACACCTAATCAGAAGAAAAGAAATTTCCAAAAATATCATGATAGTGTAAGGATCCTCTGGGACAACTTCAAGCATACCAAATTTCACATCATGGGGATGCTGAAAAAAAGAAGAGAGAAAGAATTGAAAACCTATTTGAAAAAAAATAATGACATAAAACTTCCCTTACCTGCTGAAGAAAATAGACATGTAAGTCCAGGAAGTGCAGAGAATCTCAAACAAGATGAAACCAAAGAGGCCCACACCAAGACACATCACAGTTAAAATGCCAAAGGTTAAAGACAAAGAGAGAACCTTAAAAGCAGCTAGTTTCCTACAAATGAGTTCCCATAAGACTGTTAGCTGACTTCTCAACCGAAACTATGCAGGACAGAAGGGAGTGGCAAGAAATATTCAAAGTGATGAAAAGCAAGGACCTACAACCAAGATTACTCTATCTGGCAAAGCTATCATTTAGAATCAAAAGACAGATAAAGGGCTTCACAGACAAGAAAAAGCTAAAGGAGTTCATCACAACCAAACCAGCATTACATGAAATATTAAAGAGTCTTTAAGAAGAAGAAAAAAAATTATGAACAATAGAATGGCAATACATATATCTATCAACAATTGAATTTAAAATAAAAATAAACAAACAAGCAGAACAGAGACAAACTCATAGATACAAACAAAGAACATTTTGACTGCTGCCAAATGTGAGTGCGGTTGGGGAGGATGGGTGAAAAAGGTGAATGGATTTAAGAGTGCAAATTGGTAGTTACAGAATAGTCATAGGGATGTAAAATACAGAATAGGGAATATGGTCCATAATATTCTAATAACTACTAGTATGTATGGTGTCAGATAGGTATAAGATTTTCTGGGATGATCACTTAGTAAGTTATATAATGTCTAGTCACTGGATTGTACACCTGAAACTAATATAATATTGTATGTCAACTGTAATTGAAAATTTTTAAAAAATAATTCTAAAAAGAAGTAAATTGGATAAGCAAGAGCAGACAGATATTTTAAAAAATATTTTTATGGATTTCAGAGAGGAAGGGAGAGGGACACAGGGAGAGGGATACAGAAACAACAATGATGAAAGAGAATCATTGATTGGCTGCCTCTTGCCCGCCCCCCCCCCCCCCTCCTACTGGGGATCCAGCCCCCAATCCTTGCATGTGCCCTTGACTGATATTGAACCTGGGATCCTTCAGTCCACAGGCCGACACTCTATCCACTGAGTCAAACCAGCTAGGGCCAGATTTAAAAAACAAAACAAAACAAAAAAACACGTTGGTTTTTATTTTTTCTTCTGGGTTTCTGAGTATAGGATTGTTTAGATTTTAGTTAAATGTATAATTTAGCTCCAATATAAACAAAATATTAAGAAGAAAATACATCTTCACTCTTGATATTTCAAAAGGAGGGACATAAATTGATGTAGGATTCCTGGCTTTTCTCTTACATGTGACTTCTCACCATAAGAGGGAGAGGGACTTATCCATTGCTGAATTTCTACCAGGGGTGGGCAAACTTTTTGACTCAAGGGCCACAATGGGTTCTTAAACTGGACCGGAGGGCCGGAACAAAAGCATGGATGGAGTGTTTGTGTGAACTAATATAAATTCAAAGTAAACATCATTACATAAAAGGGTATGGTCTTTTTTTTTTTTTAGTTTTATTCATTTCAAACAGGCCGGATCCGGCCCGCGGGCCATAGTTTGCCCACGGCTGATAGGGCTTTCCTACTTTTCTTTTTTTAATTATAAAGTGTCCCTTGAAAAGACAGATTTTGTAGTGATCTTCCATGACACAAATAGTATAGGAACAGATTCTGCTTCTGAAAATGTGATATGGTTCTACTTAAGGTGGTTACTGGTGTGTATATTTATCTTATTTTGGGGTGTGGACTTGGGTCTATTTTCCCACAAATATAAACCACAATTTCCAATATAAGTTTCATGGATAATAAACATGATATTTTGCTCTTCATTTATCCTACTTAGTTGAGTTGCTTTCAAACTTAAGTAGGAAAATGTGCCACTATATTGGATGCCCTCACACCCAATAGATGTGCATAAGGATGGTAGGGTCCCAGCCACAATGAATGATTTTAGAGATAGTAGAAATAAGAACTAGTGTTTAAACTAATCTGACTATTTTACAAGTGAGGAATCTACTCTCTAAAGAGGTTAATTAGCCTATTTAAGGGCTTACAGTTAATTTGTGGCAAAACTGTAAATGAACTATGATCTATTGACAATCAGGGTCATTGTCATTATCAGGGTCAGGATTCCTTTAAACTATCCTATATAATAAAAGGGTAATATGCAAATAGACCGAATGGCAGAACAATTGAACAACCAATCAAAGCTTAATATGTTAATGATATGATAATGCTGCTCAACTGCTTGCTATGACATGCACTGACTACCAGAGGGCAGACAGTTGGCTAGTTGACCAGTCGCTATGACGTGTACTGAACACCAGAGGGCAGATGCTCTGACCGGTAGGTTAGCTTGCTGCTGGGGTCCGGCCTATCAGGACTGAGTGAGAAAGGCCAGACATGCCCTGGAGCCCTCCCGGGGCCCCTCACTGGCCCCATCATGTACTGGTGGAGTCCCTCAGCCTGGCCTGCACCCTCTCACAATCCGGGACCCCTAGGGGGAATGTCAGAGAGCTCGTTTCAGCCCTATCCCCCAGGCCACACCCCTTGGGAGTGTGCCAGACACAGGGCTCATGGCTGGTGAGCGCTGCTGGAGCAGCACGAGCCTCTCCTGATCAGGACTGATTGGGCGTGAGCCCATGGCAGGCACAGTGGGGCCGGGATGAGTGAGAGCAGCAGGTAGGAGCTGCAGGTGGCGTTGGACAGTGAATTTTGGCCCAATCCCTGCAGGCCACCCAGAGGACCCCACCCATGCATGAATTCGTTCACCGGGCCTCCAGTATTGCTATAATACCCATGCAGGAGCCTCTCCTGATCAGGACTGATTGGCCGTGAGCCCATGGCAGGCACAGTGGGGCCGGGATGAGTGAGAGCAGCAGGTAGGAGCTGCAGGTGGCGTTGGACAGTGAATTTTGGCCCAATCCCTGCAGGCCACCCAGAGGACCCCACCCATGCATGAATTCGTTCACCGGGCCTCCAGTATTGCTATAATACCCATGACCTGCAAAGCCAGAAGATCTCATTTCTATATTTAGACCTTTTTCATATTACTTTCATATTATGCCATTCAGTTTTCTTTTTTGCATAACCATGCTCAAGTTCACAAGGTTGTTTTGGAATAAGAAGGTATATGTATGTAAAGGACTCCCTATAAACTTTACTGTAGAGTAAATAGCCACTTCCTATATTATCTTAATATAACTATTTTAGTAAAATGAATAAAAACGAGTAAAGAAATGATTATAAAAATATCCGGTTTTATCAATGCTAATTAAGATAATAAAGTATAAGCAGATAGTTTTAACTCTATAGGTTTAAAATGTATTTATTTGAAACATAAAATGAGGATATCCTATCTAATAAAGAGGGAATATGAACATTGACCATCACACCATCACAAAGATGGTGGTGCCCACAGTGGAGGTGGGGTTTCCGTAACACAAGATGGCTGTGCCCACAGCGGATGTGGGTTTCCATAACACAAGATGGCTGCACACACAGCGGAGGCCGAGTTCCCGTAACAAGTCTTAAAGAGCAATCAGAAGGGACCTGAGGCTGCGCCCCCTCCTGGTGGGGTTTGACAGGGGCCCTGAGGCTGCGCCCCTCCTACCCAGCGGGGCTTGATGGGGGACCTGAGGCTATGCCCCTGTCCCAGCACTGGGCCAGGGGACCTGAGGCTGCACCCCCCGCCCGGTGGGGCTTGATGGGGGATCTCAGGCTGCATCCCCTGCCCGGTGGGGCTAAACAGGGAACTTCAAGCAGCGCCCCTTACCCTGGTGCCGGGTCAGGGGACCTGAGGGTGCACTGGGGAACCTGAGGCTGCACCCCCCACTCGGCATGCACCGGGGGACCTGAGGCTGTACCTCACACCCGGCGCTGGGCAGGGGGACCTGAGGCTGCGCCCCCCGCCTGGCAGGGCTGGGTGGGGCTGGATCTCGCCCAATGGGGATGGGGCCAGCTGGGTCTGGGTCTCACACAGTTTTGAGGCACCGCAGGTGGCCAGGGACTTGACTCTGGGTCCCGCGGCGTGCCCCAGACTCTGACAGGAGGAAGATTTTCATATACATTTTACTAATTTTCTTTCATCTCTGACACTTCTATTATAAAGGGCAAATAGCAATATTAAAATATTTCCTCTAATTAATCCCCATTTAATGTGCATGAATTTCATGCACCAGGCCACTAGTACTTTTATAATAATTGAGAAATTATAATTTTTGTATAAGATAAAACTAAGGATATTCTAACATATCATATGGATATTTTTTGAGCTAAACAAATACAAAAAAATCTCATTCATCCTGTCATTACCAAACCAATTGCTCTAATGTCTAAATTCATCTTTCTTAGATGGCCTGTTTATCCTGTTCTATTCCTTTTCTTACCTTACCAAACCAAGTTCATATACATTTACTCAGCAATATCTTCTATTTTTGTTACTGTATTTCACAATCATTTTAGTAATTAATACAATTCAATGTTAAATAGGAGTAACATCTTAAAAAGTGTTTATCTTACTCCTAATGAAATAGTTTGCAAAAAGTAGACAAGATCAAATGAAGAATTGTTATTTTATTAACTTTCCTTTTTTGCTATCAATCTTACCTGTGGGATAATTGTTCTAATGGTATCTGTGCATATATAATGATATGCCTAATCCCACCTTTTGTTTAAAATCTCACCCCAAAATAATGTGACATCAAGGACAGGTCACAAAACCCATTTGAAAGATTGCTTCAATACTTCTGGCATTTAACAGATTTATCTTCATTTTGTTATCATGTGCCCTTTAAAGTAAATTTTAAGATGAAATATTCTAACTTCTGATTGAGATTCTACAGTGGTGACATAGTCAGCATTTTCAACCAATTCTGTGTTCTGAGCCCAATAAAGATCTGAAAATTCTCTCTTCTTAAGTATCAAATTGGGGAGAAAAGGATTGGAAGCATTACATGGTTTTGTTTAGTACTAGAGGCCCGGTGCATGAAATTCATGCACATGGGGGGTGGGGTCCCTCAGCCAGGCCTGCACCCTCTCCAATCCAGGACCTCTCAGGGGATGTCCGACTGCCGATTTAGGCCCGATCCTATAGGGATCGCCTCCCTGCCTGATTGCCTGTAACCACTTCTGCCAGCTGGCCTGATTTCCCCCTAACTGCTCCCCTGCCAGCCTGATTGCCCCTAACCGCTGATGCCTCGGCCCCCACCACCGTGGCTTTGTCTGGAAGAGGTCTGGTCTAATTAGCATATTACTCTTTTATTAGTATAGATGGTGTTCCCATCTGAGAGTAAATACATTCCTCACTGCCAACCAATTGGGTTTCAAATGTGTGTTCTTAGAAACAATGCTTTGATAATGACACTATTGCCAAATAAAGACCAACCATTCCATTTTTTACAACAAATTATAACAAATCACTTTCAAACTCCAAAATTATCAAAATGAACTAGTTCCTTATTGGCCTCTTAGCACAATTATTTAGCTATTTTCCAATGAGATTAGTAAATTCTAAAAGTTCTAAGAGTTATAGAGTCTTGCTTAAATAAAATTAAAAATAGTCCTCACAAAGTAACAAAGAGAATTTTTTTCAGTTAAAAACATCACTATATTGACATTTTTTACTAATATTGAAAATTATTAGTTTTCATTAGAAGTTTCCTAGAGACATCTAAAGCAAGTTACAAATAAAAGATTTTAGATTTTGTTCACACTTTTCAAATGCTCAAAAATTATGTGTGATAATAATATCAACCAAGAAGTCAAGAATTCAGTGAGAAAGTGGTTTATAAGGATTAGATCTTGTTAGAGGATAAGAAAAAGTCTCTCTCTCTTTGTTTTGTTTTGTTCTTATGCAGAGTTCTGAGAACGTGAATCTTAAATAAAGATTATAAGGAATTTTATTCATATTCAAAAGTGGAACAAATCATACAAATTTCTCTGAACTGACAAGGAATTAAGAGGAAATGGCCTGCAGGAGAGAACAAGGTATCTGAGACTCCTCATCAGCAGTCTAATCAAGTGAGGGCCCAGTGGCAGTTCTAAGCAGCCCACACAATTACTCTGGAATTTGCTGCTAGTAAAATATCTTCCTGTCTTATAGTCACATTCTATGATTGTCACCTGAATGGAGTGATCGGGGTAGAATAACAAGTGTAAAACATTTTATTAAATGTTTCTTCGTTTGTGCTTTGGTATCAGCCACTCACTGTGTTTATGTTTTTATACTAACCATCTTATATAGACCCTCAGGCAAATGTGCATATATCCCAGAATAGTAAAACACAAAGTGATATAATATGCATAATCATTACACCACAGCTTAAGTTTATATTTTTAGAGTGTATAAGAGTGTAAAAAATTCCTCTCCCACAAATGACATGTTCTTTGATATTTAGTTTTGAAAAGGTTATCAGCCCTAAGAAAAACTTTAAAACTAGGCAAACATCTATAAAATAGTTCATCTAGATAGTGTTTGGCAAGCATAGATTATTGAGATCTGAGGAAAAGAGGAAACCTTCACAACATGAAAATATACCACATTGAGGAGAGGTTGTTTAACCCGGAGGCTACCTGCAAACAAGCACCAACCACCTCCATGGAGTTATTAACAAAATGCTGTGTTCCTGTGGGGGAGAGGACAGGAAGGGCTGTGTGATTCAAATTTTATTCAAAACCATTAGACAGACAGAGAGAGAAATGGTGGCACACATCCTTTCTGACTCTCCTCGCTTCTTTCCAATCTCCTCTCAAGAGGGAAGCAGCACGATGAAATACACAAATGGCAATCGAAGAATAAAAATTGGAAATTTTTGACTAAGTTGAGACGATATTGTTTCAATAATGAATG